TGAAAAGTAGGCCTGTACCTGACCACTTCAATGTATTTATAACTAGTAGAATTGTAACATGACATTTACCATTAATGTTATATAAAACTGAAAACCAAACATTTATTTTAAATATATTGTTGTCTAAACCATGTTTCTACCTTATTCAGAAAAATACATGTGATTATATTTTCAATATTGTTACACAGTATGACATGAGGTTAACACATAATATCAAAATTAGATATGTATTCTCACCATTGTAGCAGATGAAGTCAAATTTCTTATTACAAGGGAAATCCTGCCATTTTTGATCTCTTATCACCACACAGTTCTCCTCAGCGTTGATATTCGGCTGACCGTCCATCCATTTTGTCTCAGATTCTTTGAACTCCAGCCCCGGCAGAGACCAGTGCCATGACCTCTCGGTTCTTGGTATGCTGTGCAGTCCAATCCAGGCTTCTTTATTCTTTGAATGTTTAGTCAGTCTCTTCATGTCTCTCATGTTAGACACTGTGGCCAGGTCAGTGTATTTCTCTCTGCAATACTTCTTGGCTTCATCCCAGGACTTTTCCTCTCGAATGAAGTGGTACTCATAGATGTGACATGTGAAGAAGGAACATTGACCTAAAAACAGAGACAATTCTTCAGTGATGGAGCTGACAGTATGACAAGCACCTGATCATTAAATCAAACTCATGAGCACTAAAATCACTCCCACCTCTTACATCATCCCCTTCATCTTAATGGAGCTCTGAGTTCACATATTCCACTTTTTAATGTTAGGAAGAGTGAGCAGTTTCATGACTCCAGATGTGATTTAATAAAAAATCCACTTACCCATCAGAATGAGCACAAACAATCTCCACTGCATCTTTGCTCTGTTAGATGAAACCAACATTGTTAGTGTACAGTGATCATTTACAAATATTATAAATTATGTCAGTTCAATTTAAATTATTTAAAAAACCTAATGGGTCAGTCAAATGACCAGAAACACAGACTGCACCACTCCCTTCAGTGCAGCAGTTTAATGAGGAAGTTAATGTTAAGAAAATGCAAATTCTGAGCAGCACCAGCAGTAACAGGCACACACCACCAGGCTGTCAGGAGGCTGAACTCTCTCCCACCTCTCCCCTCTCTCCCCTCTATCTCACCTCTCCACCCTGCCCCCACTGGACCGGGACTTTAACACCCCCCCCCCCCCGCACACACAGACACAACAAATCCAGCACCAGTCACTTTGACGCTGCTATGGAAATATTTTGCACTCTCATTTGCACTCACACATATTTTGAATTTGACAATAAAGTTGACTTTGACTTGACTTGACCATAACATTTATTTTTAGCACATGAAAATGTCTAATTTCAATGAAACAGTTACAAACTAAACAATAACTGTATAGTGCCACACAACAACACTGACCTTTTATGTTGTTTTTTTTGTCGAGGCTATACGTATTAATATGTTGCTGGTGATATATTTTGTAGATTATTTATTCACATTACAATGTACTCCTACTATCAGAGACATAAATTGAAATTAGCTTAATTAAATTGTGTATTGTTGCTTTTATAAGCCCGATTAAAAGATGTGTCTTAATTATTTTCTTAGTGGTGAACTTACCCGAATGAAAATTACATTGTGTTTATTTGAACTGAGAGTTAGATTGCTGTGTATACACATCGTCTCCAATAAAACATTTAAGATTTACCACTGTTTTTTAAAGCAGGAAAATTGTGTTTTTTTCAGCCCTGAGTAATGTCTACGGAACAGGCTGCATACATCGCCCAAAAAGCTCTAAAAACCTAACATGAACCTGAAAGATAAAACTCATTATAAAGGTCCAGCGTTCTTGGTAAAGTGCCAACTTTTGTAAAAAAAAAAAAAAGTTTTAAATTGAACATTAGATAAAGATTATTATTCAAAATGAAACATTGAGTTTTTAATACAAATAAATAAACATTCCAAGTGATTTCAAGAGAAACACATGATTTAAGGGAATAAATGAGCATACAAGGGTTTTAGATTTCATTACTTCTGATTGAGATGTGATTCATTAAATGTTCCTCCCCTTTGGAAAATATTCTGAAAGAGAATATCTTTCTAAAAAATAAACAAAATATGAAAGTGACTGAACAGAATCACACTTACTTCTCCTGAGTCGTCCTGTCAGCTGCTTCTCTCTCTGTCTCTCTCGATGTGCTGGTGAAGACTCAGATATCCAGGAGGTCACTGCTCTCTTTGAGCCACCTTTGGGCAAACATTTGAATATTCAAATTCAGATGTCAAAGATGTCTATCATGGTGGATATAGGATCCATTGTTGGAAAGAATTTAAATTCAAAAACGGAAAAAAAGTTGAACACACTTCCTTGTTGACTGTCTGACACACGGAAAGAAAGGTACCATTCCAAAATATGCACTAATGATAACTATTGAATGTTTATATTTTTTATATATGTTTTCAGATATTGCTTGTTACCGTATGTCAAACAACTTTAATATAACTGTCTGGCTGTATTCAAGCCCCTCATATTACAAGTTTGTCAATATTATTTTAATTTCAGTCACATAGTTTCTTTATTCTGAAACACAAGTCAAAAACATTATCTCTTTGTTGTCTCTATTCTAATGAGTCTGTCCATCCAGCTATTTCATTCCTGTGAATGCTATATCTCAGGAGAACGTGAGGAATTCATTCAAGTCTTGCACAATCTTTCACTTGGACTCAAGGATGAACCACTTTCTGTCATATTTTTGACCTTTGATTGTGGTCAGAAGAACAAAAGTCTCTGTGACCTCACAAAACCCGATGTTGTGGCCGTAACAATAATTAATTTGTTAACTATAACAGTGTCACTCAACTTTCTGATGGGATAAAATTATGAATCGATGACATTTTGTACAGACATGGATGTAAACTGCTACATGACTGGTTGGCAGAAGCATGCAAGTGCCAGGCGGTAACTCCAGTTTCCATTTCAACGGGAGAACTTTTTAGAGCTCTTAATAGCATACATTTTATTGAACTACGATATTCAAATAAATGTGCAGGCATTTTATACACCAATAACTATTCAATAGTATTATCCTAAAGTATATCAAGATCAGTAAAAAGCAATATTCATTCATATACACGACACTTTTGAGAAAACAATTTCTCAAAACAAAGAGGACCAAGTGTAAGCCACTGTGGGATACCTTAAAAAAAACCTTAAGACTTGATATGGAACGATTGGAAACTATTGCCTGAATTCTAAAAGAAAGATAGTGATAAAAACCACTTATTACGTGGTTTAGTTGAATACTCGATTCTGATTGATCAATTCAGAACACGTGACATGTTGTTAATCCAGTACAGACAGATCGCTGTCAAGGATTTATTGACCGTTGTTCACATCTGCAGAAAGAAGTCCGGTCGATTTAACTGTATACAGTTTGGCCGAAAAGCAAACTGCATGCAGTTCCTTCATGCTGATCAAGATCCCTCCGCTTCGCGTCGGGCTCCTGATCTGCCTGTCGGGTGTTCTTATACCCATAATGACCGGCACGCTGCACATTATCCCTTACATATTTAACTGGTATTTATCTAGCTACACAGATCACGTTTCAAGTAAAATATGAAATATAAATATACATAATACAGTAGGGATTACAGACTGATCCAGCTAGGCCATGTACAGAATACTGGGGCAGTCGCTGTGTGGCACAGGAAGGCCCCCGAAAAAATAACATCACATTTACATGAACATATCAAAACAGCACAACAAGAACAAAGACTGCTCTTACTAGACTTGACTTTACAAGTCAAATGAGTGCACGCTATGGTTTGCAGCACACCTGAACAGACCTATCCCATATTTCTCTCCTATCTGAATAACTCTGCCATGTTAACAGTCACAGTGTCCACCTTTTTAATACAATTTGGCATCACTGTTTTCATGTCCTTATTCTGATAAAGAGGCCTGAATACATGTTTTACCTGCTGTATATTTCATGTATAATACAAAGCCTTTGAGTTAAATTAAAGAGAACAAGATCAAAATATCTCAGTCCTGTGTTCTCCTAACACTTAAAAGCAGCCCAACTGTTAAATTGATATTCATGAAAAGTTGAACTTTGAGAATGGGCTAATGCCAGGTTTGGTCCACTAGTTCAAATAAAAGGAAATCCAAATGCTTCAGCACACGATAACACTTGAATTAGAATTACCACACACACTTGCACAGATGTTGGAAGATATAAATACATGTGTTCTCATCATGGGCAAATCCCAACGACAGCAGGCACCAACAGAAGAGCTGGTTCAAGTGCGTCCTCTAGTGTTGAAAGATAACCGCCTCAACAAAAACATCTTCCACTTCTATGACTCATTCCTGTTTACTTAGGGTGCATTTTGACAAGCTGCATATTCACTCTAAAAAATCAAGAATTAAAGGTGGGGTAGGTAAGTTTGAGAAACCGGCTCGAGATACACTTTTTGTTATATTCCATGGAATGCTCTTAACATCCCGATAGCAATGAATATCTTAAGTGCTTTGACAAAAAATCCATAAAAAAATGTCATCTGTGGAAGCCGTAGTACTGTAAAAAGCACGACCAATCATTTTAGCCGGCCCGGCTAAAATAACTGGATGGCCTACCTGCCTGTCAGCCTTCCATCTGTGCACAAACTTATCTCGTGCCCTCATTGGTCATGTGCGCGTACGTGTGTGTTGGAGGAGGGGCTCTTTAAGGAAGTGGCAGATTTTCTCCGGTTGTGTATTTTCAAATTCTAGCGATCTCGAGCCGGTTTCTCAAACTTACCTAACCTACCTTTAAGTCTGTCAGTGAACTCAAAATCAGTCCTCATTATGTAGTTCGATTTGTAAGGATGACAGCTAAGGAGAAATTATTTTCAATTACATACCCATACATTATATATGTATTTACAGTCAAATAAGCACCTCTTAGGTAAATGTAAAACATGACTATTTAAAGCCAGTGGACGAAAGAACCACACCTTGTTTTTGGGTCAGATCGTTTATTCAGCTTTAGACAGTTAAACATCCAGTTAAAACTCCATTAAGGTAAATATGACAAAAATAGTGATACACATATTATAACTATCACCACATTTCAACCAAAACGTAAAATATTTTATGAAAAGCAAAACATTATAGATTTGTCTTTTTATATATTTTTTCTCATAAACATATAATAGGACACAACAACAATTCAAATGAAGATTATAGGTTCCACACTTTAAGAGGATAAATATACATGCATTATATCAATAACTACTACAACAAAAACATATCAAGTAATTCAGATGTTCACAGAGACAAAAACATGTTAAATTTAGTGTCGCCCCTTTTTCTCAATTTCTAATCCTCAGTTAGTAATCTGTTAGTAATTTAGTTTCTCCCCTCTTCAGGTTGTGATTTCAATATTTGAACTAGAGCCATTCAATAAACCCAGAGAGCAGACACATATTAGAGAAGAGTGAGCTTGTTGCAGTAAATATACCAATGGGTTTACTTAACGCAGATGAAATTAAACGTTTCACTGTCAGCCTTTTTGTACCACTCTCCATCTCTCTTCATGACTCCAGCCATGCCACACTCAGCCATTTCGTCTGGGGCCCAGTTGTGATAGCAGACCAGACGATCACTGACCCAGAACCACAGATCCAGAGTGCAGGTGAAGCGCATTCCCAGCCAGACGAACTCAGTGTCGGCCATCTTGGCTGTCTCTTGGACCCATCTCTGCTGGTGACTGTCAGTGATGGAGACCAGGTCATCGTGGTTCTCTCTGCAGTGATCCAAGGCCTCATCCCAAGTCTTATTCTCTTTGATCAGGATCACTTTGTCTGTAATTGAAATGGATGTTTTTTTAAACTTAGATTAATCCTTTATTGAAAAACAACTCTGAATTTCAATAACATAGCACCATGCAATCATCATTTGTTGTTATAGCAAATAGAAATCTCTAAAAACACAAGTGCAATATATAGAAATAGTATGAAAACAATTGATAAAGAAAACGAAGGTAACAAATGACGTGGCACCTTTTGTAAAAGCCAGGATAAAAAGATTTGAGGACAAAAACACGACTAAATGATATTCATTACTTTCTGCTCTTTCATGGTTTTATAATTGTCATTCTCCACTAAAGGATATTTAACATGTGTGTACAAATATATAACTAAAAACTAAAATACTTTAAAAGATTTTTTCAAAACTCACCCTCATAGCAGTAGAAGGGTTTTTTAACTGTGCAGGTGTCGGAGCTCCATTTTCCATTTGGCTTAGTCATAGCACATTTTTTTGAGGCTACATCTTCAAATGAGTCCTCCCAGTGTCTGAAAGAGAAATTCTTCCCATCTGACCAACCCCAGATCTCTCTGAACAGGCCGATCCACAAGTTCTTATTTGGATTTGACGGTCCTTTGATTTTTCCCTTGCATTCGTCAACCTGATCCTTGAATTCTGTTGAATTGATCTGTGTGATTCCACTGACCAGGTCAGTGTGATGTTTTCTGCAGTAGCTCTGAGCCTGAAGCCAGTTCTTGGCCGCATTTTTACAGTGGTATGTTTTCTTTGGTTCTGTGTGAAAAAAGAGACACAATTAATTACACATTTTCACAAGTTAATTAGTCTCAATAAGTGTGTTCTCCTACAGAAAGATTGGTGGACAGATGTGAAAAGATTAACACAATTTGAGGTTAAAGTCTATTAAAGTGTTACGTTTAATAATGTTACATTGCATAATGAAAAGTAGGCCTGTACCTGACCACTTCAATGTATTTATAACTAGTAGAATTGTATCATGACATTTACCATTAATGTTATATAAAACTGAAAAGCAAACATTTATTTTAAATATATTGTTGTCTTAACCATGTTTCTACCTTATTCAGAAAAATACATGTGATTATATTTTCAATATTGTTACACAGTATGACATGAGGTTAACACATAATATCAAAATTAGATATGTATTCTCACCATTGTAGCAGATGAACTCAAATTTAACATTACAAGTGTAATCCTGCCATTTTTGATCTCTTATCACCACACAGTTCTCCTCAGCGTTGATATTCGGCTGACCGTCCATCCATTCTGTCTCAGATTCTTTGAACTCCAGCCCCGGCAGAGACCAGTGCCACGACCTCTCGGTTCTTGGTATGCTGTGCAGTCCAATCCAGGCTTCTGTAGTCTTTGAAGGTTTAGTCAGTCTCTTCATGTCTCTCATGTCAGACACTGTGGCCAGGTCAGTGTATTTCTCTCTGCAATACTTCTTGGCTTCATCCCAGGACTTTTCGTCTTGAATGAAGTGGTACTCATAGAGGTGACATGTGAAGAAGGAACACTGACCTAAAAACAGAGACAATTCTGCAGTGATGGAGTTGCCAGTATGACAAGCACCTGATCATTAAATCAAACTCATCAGTACTAAAATCACCCCCACCTCTTACATCATCCCCTTCATCTTAATGGAGCTCTGAGTTGATTTATTTAACTTTTTAATGTTAGGAAGAGTGAGCAGTTTCATGACTCCAGATGTGATTTTAATTTAAAATCCACTTACCCATCAGAATGAACACAAACAGACTCCACTGCATCTTTGCTCTGTTATATGAAAAAATGCAAATGTTGAGCATCAACAGCACGAACAGGCTCACATTGTGAAATGTCTTTTTTTTAGCACATGAAAATATCTCATTTGAATAAAACACAAATAATGTGATGCATCAAACTTCAACAGTAACAATAACACCTCAACAATAGAGTGCAATACAATGATGACATTTTGTCTTTGTGTGGAGTTTATAATATTTATATTTTGCTGGTTTGATAATAATCTTTTATTATTTTGTTTATTCACCTTTCAATATTCTGCTACTTTTAAAGACCTATGTTTCAGGAGTGGGTTAGACTGTATGGGCTATTTAACCAGAATGCAAAATAAAACATTAAGAATAATGGATAATTGCATTTCCCATTGTTTCTTTTATAAGCACAACTTTAGAGTTTGCATTATTTTCTTTGTCTAACGGGTGAACTATCCCTATTAAAAAATATATGTTGTTGTCATTTCACTGAGAATCAGATGGCTGTGTTCAAACATAGCAATACAAATGTAAGATTAACCATTCAGGTTATTTTATTAAACATGAAAATAGTGGGATTTTGTCTGCAGAACATCACTTTTTACAAAGTACCTGATATCATGGTTAGTCTGACAAATAAATAAGACTAATTCCCATCTGATAACTAAAATATGTGAAATATATGTTGAGGAAAATATTGCACTCTGCACACACAATAAACATGAAAATGACTGAACAGAATCACACTTACTTCTCCTGAGTCGTCCTGTCAGCTGCTTCTCTCTCCGTCTCTCTCGATGTGCTGGTGAAGACTCAGATATCGATGAGGTCGCTGCTCTCTTTGAGCCACCTTTGGGCAAACATTTGAATATTCAAATCCAACGCCAAGATTTCTATCATGGTTGAGACAGGATCCATTGTTGCTAAGAATATCCTTTACATGATGTAACAGAAAACACACACTTCCCTGCTGACTTTCTAACAAATGAGAGAAAGTTGTCCGGCCAAAATATCTACTAATAATATTAATTATATCTATATATTAATTATAAAGTCTAGATTTCGAATTGTTTCAGAGGACTTTATCTGAAACGATTAGTTAATACTGCCAAGTTCTACAAGATAGATAGTGATAACAAACATTGAATTAACAGTTTATATAGCAACAAGAGAAAGGGTTTCTAGTAAAATGTTAAAAATATACACATAACATGGGAGGGATTTTGGACACATTCTCTGTGCACACGTTTTACTGAATTTTCTGAAACCTTCACATGGTCAGTTTCAATTTTTGTATCTATACATAAACAAAAGGCCGATAAGTATTATAGTACTGTAAGTGCTGAAAACCCTTGTCCTGATGTCAGCAGGGAGCTCGTTGCACCAATTTTGGAGTGAGGATAGCAAACAGGCGTGTTTCTGTAGACGGGTACCTAGGTCCCACTCACACTGGGGAAGGAGCGAGCGGATTGGTCGATGCAAAGTGAAGCGTACGTGCAGGAGTGTTTGGTTTTAAACATGTCTTGTGTGTAGGCATAGGCACTTCTAGGGGGGGCAAACAGGGTCCTGTGACGCGGAGCTTGGACCCCTGTGGCCCGACTCCAAAAGAATACATATGATAATGCAATTAATGTAAAATACTAAGTTACTGTGCTTTTTTTCAGTAATATAATTTAATAAGTAAGTTACTGGAACAAATGTTGTAACAAATCCCAACAAATATTAAGAAATACAATAAAAACTAAGTTTTTCATAAATGATGTACTTATTTTATTCTTCTGTATCTTGGGCCAAAGTAACTAACAATATAAAATAAAATAGTAACAAATTAATTGACACAAACTCTGTTACTACTGTATATCAAACACCAATAATGGTATTTTAAGTTTTTTCATGGGCCATGACATTAGGCATAGGCGGTTTTAGGGGGGCCAACAGGGGCCAGTGCCCCTGTGACACGGAGCTTGGTGTGATGGAAACTTCTGAAGCAATGGAGACACATTAGTTATCTGTCAACTATTGTTACACAGTATGATATCATCAATATAGCGTTAATAGTGACATATACTCACCATTGTAGCAGATACATTTAAGTCTACCAGAACAATGGTAATCGCTACATATTTTTTTAGTCTGCAATTACCACACAGTTCTCAGGATCGTCACCTGCATTGTTCGGCTCAGTTGTATGTCATTTTGGCTTACATTCTGTATGATTGTGTTTTTTGTGGAAATTGTTAGCCTGTCACTAACAATTAGGGGCCGGTGTAAGAGCCATTTTGTGACATGTTTGGAAAAATATGATCCCGTTTCATTGAGATATGACCATGATGGTAATGAATGTGTTGATGTTAGTGCTGTCAATTGATTAAAAAAGCAAGAAAAATATTTTATTTAATGTTTGTCTTTTGCCCACAGGACATACAAAAATAAGAGTTCACTTGTTGTTTTATTACAATTTGAACATATGAATCTAAGGACAGTTAGGTTGTTAGAAAAATGTTTTGCTGCTCTCCGGTGGATAAACATTGTACTTATCTGAATCACTAATACATCCCAATCACATATTTCTGATCACATTCAAAAGTTTGGAATCATCTGCCACTAAAGCTTTATTTGGGCAGTAATACATTGCTTAGACCATTATGTCTATATGTTTGATTGGTCCTTTATGCTTTCAGGTCGTAGAAGGTTGAGAGGTTAGCAAAAAAGGTTATTTTTTGAACACGGAGAACAAAACTCTGTACAATCATTCAATCAGAATGGCTTGGTAAAGAGGGAAAGTACAACAGTTATATAACGTATTTAAAATCAGAAGTCTTTGGTCGAAGAAACTGGAAGCTAGGAATTCAAATGTGTGCAGATTTGAAAAGGAACAGATTCTTGTGTCAATGTCGAGTGAAAAATAACAATCTATGATAATTAAATTAATGTAAAATACTAAGTACTTTTTTTCAGTAATGTAATTTAATAAGTAAGTTACTGAAACAAATGTTGTGACTAAAACAAATCCCAACAAGTATCAAGAAATGAAATAAAAACTAAGTGTGGCTGCATAAATAATGTATTTATTATCCCAAACTTATTTTATTCTTCTGTATCTTGGGCCAAATGTAAACAATAAAATAAAAATGATAACAAAGTCATTGACACAAACTCTGTTACTTATTCAAACACTGATAATGGTATTTATGCTTTATTATGCGCTATGACTTTAAACAAAAACATTTCAAATCTCCTTCTTCCTGCATTAAATGCCTCTCATTGAATGATTGGCCCCATCACGGCCCCTCCTAGTAAAATTAGTCTAGAACCACCACTGCAACCACTTCTATTCCGACTGCCTCCATTTATTGGTTGTTGTATGTTATTGTCTCCGTTGTCCCCTAAGTAACACCTCGGGGACGTAAGACTAAACGGTGTTTGAATGTGTGTGATTATTAATTTCTGCCTCTGTATGAATAGGTGACAACGGGTGAATGCTGACTTGTTTATGTAAAACGCTTTGAGGGCTCATAAAACACTGCAAAAACACTGTATGAAATGCAGTCTATTTAACAGGCGTGCTGCTCCAGGGTCACTTACATTATTCTTTTTTATTTTTCTTATTTAATTAACAGAGGCATTTTTCTCAGAATATAAACCTCATATCTTTACATAAAGTATAGGTAAGTAAAAAAATCAAAACAAAAAAAATACAACTGAATAAATCATAAATAAATATGTAAAAAGAAGAGTAAAATGAAGCTGATTACAAAGCAATGACTCGGTTCATATTTCGCCATGTGTCGAAACAAACACACTCTGGACTGTAAAACAAATAAAAAAAGATAGGATATTTAATTAGTTCAAAATGTATTCTCCCTGTTGTTAAACACCGTCGGGACATCAGCTTAATATGAATTGTATTTCAGTAGTTATTTCCAAACTTTTCATCAGTGTAGCTTTCGGCATTTTTTAAACCATGTTTGTTGGACATTCAGCTTTCCGTGTCCCATCTCTGTTTTTTTTCCATTACATTACTGTATGTAAATGTCCTGTCATAACTGATATGCAGTGGCGGCCGGTCCATAGGGGCGCTAGGGGCGCCGCCCCACCTCTTCCCATATTGATAAAAATAAATAATAATTAAAATTAAAATAAAAAAAAAAAAATATGTTTAAAAAAATATATATGTTTTTATTTTTATTTTTAATGAACAAGGTAAATATTATATAATTGGTATCAGTAAAATGTATAATCTACAATAAAATCTCGTTTAAAATTGTGTTACGATGTCTAAAGTTACTGATAAGTCACATGTTTCCTGCCTGGCCTTGCCCATGCACCTTCTCTCGTCTGGGCGCTAAGAGAGGAGCCTTCAACCAGTGCAGCAGCAGCCACCAGCAGCTGACTGTTGCTATCTGTAACGTGTAAACTATGCCGCGAAAATATAATTTCAGCCAATTAGCGTCGTCAAAGATGACGGTCACCGGGCGCCAATGTCAGCGCCCAGTGCAGTCTGTGAGTAGTTTGGACAGTGACTCGTATCCGGTTGACGCAGTAGTTGATGAGGATGGCTTCGTGTGCAGGTGGAGTCTCCGGACCTCGGTCCGCGCCTAATTCTGTTCAAGAGCTAATCTCCAATCCTTTCGAAAGGAGAAGTTTGGCAGATAAATTGTTGCTTAAAGACCTTGCACCGGACCAACCCGATTTGAATATATCGCAGCAATCTCGTGAAAAAGACAACATTTATACACGAGGCTTCACAAGTAGCTGGTACACAAGAAAGGCTTGGCTAGCTGGATGCAAACAGGTAAATGCTGTCTTTTGTTTCCCATGCTTGGATATCACTTTATATGTAGAGAGGAGGTTTCCCATGGTTGTTAGAAGTTTATTAATAAGTGGGCATTTATCACAGAAGTGATTGTTCTGTCTCCACGTTTGTTGCATTGTCTGTGATGTATTTTCCAACGGTTATAGCTCCTGTTCTGTCCCAGCAACACTACACGGTTTGCAGCTCCACCACATTTTTGGTTTATCTTCGGTGTCGCTTAAAATCTGCTTCCCATCGGACTAAAACCTCCACGTAATCTGAAGACAGATACTTGAAGTTATTTAAACCTTTTGCAAACTTTATGTTCTTTCTTGCTCTAGCCTTGCCAGATACATTGTACATAACACATATATTATCATTATGCTAACTGGTTGTTCGTGTTAGACGATGTAGCTTTTTCATTTCTGAGTTATTGATATATGTAAATAAGCCTGTTTGTAAATAATCCTCAGAGAAACAAAGAAAAAACACAATTTATGACATTTTGTGCTGTGGTTATTTTTTTTAAATTGCATTTATTCACAGTTCAGTTTGAAATGCTGTAGTGACTTGTATTGAACCACTTAAATATTTATAATTAATGCTACTGAAAAGATGCTATTAATTTTATATCTCACATGCAGTTCACTGTAAAGCTACTTGGTGAAGGTGTTGGTTCATAAAACATGAACAGTTTTAAGAAAGAAAAAAACAGACCAGTTCTGAGAACACAAATTCCTGGTAAAGTAGTAGATGTTCAGGTTGATAAATAATATTTTCCACACTGAAGATTATGGAGGTATTGATCAGTCTTCTCATATTTTTAAGCCTCGATTTCTCCTTTCCCCCCCCTCTAACATCACCAGAAGTCATCATTTAAGGGGTCATTTCTCGAAAAAAAAATTCGGGGGGAAACCCCCCGGGTAGGTCACTTGCGGTACGTCAAGAGCCCCACCAAAAAAAAAGACCACCGGCCGCCACTGCTGATATGTACTTCTGCTTTGGATCAATGTTCGCAACAGAGATCTTAATATTTTCTGTTGTAATATTCAAATGCTGGCAGTAAATTAGCGACATATTAAACGTCTATTGGGAGAAGTCTAAACCAGTACGAGGCAGAGAGTGAAGCGAGGAGAGAAGAAACCAGCGTAAGTTTAACCTCTGTTATGTCTCTGATTTTGATAGAGTTTATTGGTTCTCTTATTAGAGATATTTATTGTACGTTACATGCGTTTAACATTTTAAAAGGAGTACACATTATATTGTGAATGTATCTTTTTTCCTTCAGTATTTCTAATTTCTAGTATACTTTCTTATTATTGAATTCTCTACAACTTTCATGAAGGGTGTACACAGTTACAGAAACTCTTTATAATAAATGTTTAGGTTGCCATACCCTTGTGTGGCAGGAATTGACTGATTCACACTTGCGTATTGTAACTGGTTCCTCTCATTTCATATATCGCATGTGCATGATTATAATCATAGCCGCAAACACCAGAACATCTGCTTTTATATAGATTATCTACATTTTCGTATTCGACAGTTTTTCTTTATGTGTATTTTACAAGTAACTTACATGTGGTTTGCATATTTCTTATCATCCCCTTCCTTATTAGACAACACTTTCCAAAGGAGTGTTTTTTATAACCTGGAAGAATTGTGTCATATCAGTTTCATCTAACAGAGCAAAGATGCAGTGGAGTCTTTTTGTGCTCATTCTGATGGGTAAGTGGATCATCTGCTTACATTTTTCGTTCTAAAATCAATACCTTTCAATCTACATTTAAAGCCCTCATTTGAAATAAGATTTCTAATATATATATATATATATATATATATATATATGTTTTTATTTGTTTCCCTCTGTTTTTAGGTCAGTCTTTCATCTTCACATGTCACCTCTATGAGTACCACTTCATTCAAAAGGAAATGTCCTGGGATGATGCCCAGAGTTATTGCAGAAAGAATTACACTGACCTGGCCACAGTGTCTGACATGAGAGACGTGGAGAGACTGCGCAACTCTTCACAGACTACAGGCGCCTGGATTGGACTGCAAACAAAAACAGAAGGCAACAAACCATGGCGCTGGTCTCTGCCAGGGGTGGAGTACAAAGAATCTGAGGCACTATTGGAAAATGAAGAGCCAAACGATCCTGAGAACTGTGTTAAGATGGATGAGAATGATGAGAATGATTATCGCAAATGGGATGATGAATCTTGCACTGATAAGAATAAATTCATCTGCTACAATGGTGAGAATATGTGGCTAATAATGGTGCTACTGTATGTGTAAACAGCAAATCATGCTGTCTAGTGGACACACACCTCTTCTTTATACAGTCAACTATAAACAACGTTTGCTCTATAATTTAAAACATGTATATGATATACTATTTATATGCATATATTGTACACATTGCCCATGTAAGTAACTGTATATATTTCTGGTAAGTATTATTGTTTTCTTAGTCTTACTTAATTGCTAGTTTGCTTTTTTATTGCCTATTTATTGTTCAAATTATATTGTAATTGAAGTCTTTAAAAAAAAATGTCTGCATGGGTAGCCTGGAGAGTGGTACAGCTACATTGTGCAATCCTATATTGTAAGATACAATTGAAGAAAAAAGGAAATAATACATTTTTGTAATTGACAACTTAAATGTTAATGTTTAAAAACAAAACAAAACGATGAAGGGTAGCATGGGATTTGTACCTTTGTAATTCAACACAAACTTTCATTGTAAAACATCAGAGGAATTATGCAAATATTACTGATAATAGTTTCACCTGTTTTAAGTAATAAAATATGACGACGAGGAGATCCTAAGAATGTGTAACGCTTAACTGTGTCTGTTTATTCACACAGAAACAGGGAAACAGAAATACTTTGTAATTGATAAACCTGAACTGAACTGGCTTCAGGCTCAGAGTTACTGCAGAGAACATCACACTGACCTGGTCAGTGGAATCACACAGATCAATTCAACAGAATTCAAGAACATTACCAAACAATTCAACAACCAAGATCTGTGGATCGGCCTGTTCAGAGAGGTCTGGAGTTGGTCAGATGGGAAGAATTTCTCTTTCAGACACTGGGAGGAGACATTTGAAGATGAAGGAAACATGGACTCATTGGATGATGTAGCCTCAAAGACATGTGCTATGACTACGCCAAATGGAAAATGGAGCTCCGACATCTGCACAAATCAAAAACCCTTCTACTGCTATGACGGTGAGTTTTGCACAAGTCTATCCCACAATATTACCGTAAATACTTGTTTATGCATGCATGTTGAATTTGATTCTGTGTTGAATGTGATTGACTTTGATTGATTGATTGATTGATATTTCTTCATAACATTACACTTATGGAAACTGTCTCTGCTCTGTCATTAAGGAATACATTTAAAAAAGGTTGACCAAAATATTATGAGAACTGAAATATCGATTCGTCATGTCACAGATATCTGTTCACACAATTTAAATGTTGTTATAGCAGGCTAAGTGTTTCATTTAATTCTTCATTTAGGTTTTTTAATCATGTTAATGTTGGAGTTATGACATTGCTAGCTTTAAGATAAAATGTCACTTAATCTGCTTCAGACATTCTTAAAGATATTTAACATGAGCACCAAAGGTACAAGCAATGATTGGGATATCGAGCAAAGGGATCTAAATAATTGAATAAACACCAACAAAGCCCCCTATGTTTACTTGCATTTCTTCAATTAATGACAGACAAAGTGATCCTGATCAAAGAGAATAAGACTTGGGATGACGCCTTGGATTACTGCAGAGAGAACCACCGTGACCTGGTCTCTATCACTGACAGTCACCAGCAGAGATGGGTCCAAGAGGGAGCCAAGATGGCCGACACTGAGTTCGTCTGGCTGGGAATGCGCTACACCTGCACTCTGGATCTGTGGTTCTGGGTCAGTAATCGTCTGGTCTGCTATCACAACTGGGCCCAAGAAGACAAGATTGAGGGTTGTGACAGGGCTACAGCCATGAAGAGAGATGGAAAGTGGTATGAAAGGAAAGAAGGGAACTTTCTTAATTTTATCTGCGCCTTATAGTACATTTTTAAACCCACCGGTGTATTTATATAAGCTTACTCTACACTGACTGTTCTCTGGGGTTTTTTAATGGCACAATGACATGTCAATAAATCACAACCTGAAGATGGTAGAACATCATTTATGAAGGTATCACTTAATGCAGATTAGTCATTGAGAAATTCCGGGGACATCATTTAGTTTCAGTTCCGTCCTTTATAATAGCCAGGGAGAGATAACTACAGACAGCCTTGGTGCTCATTGTTTATTCAATATAGAATATTGTACTATTTTTCTTTTAAAGTGTGGGATTTGTATGCATTTCTTAAGGTATTTGTTGTATCCCATTGGTAGAGTTCAAGAAACAATTAGCCTATTCTGCTTTGCTATAATAAACATTTCATATACTCACTTTATCACATGTTTTTAATTTCCAAGATGTAATTCAAATTGGGTAATAATGGTTGAAATATGTATAATCATGATTATAATTTTTTTTTAATTATGTAAACAATAGATTTTTTTTCTGACATTGAATAAACTGTTAACCATGGATTGGGCTTGTGGTTCTTGCAATGTATGCCCTGGCACACACACAATACACACACACTTCAGATTTCAAGATAGGATTTAAAAAGTAATTCATACTATTCCATGAATTCTTACAATACAGCAGTTCTCATCCTATTTTTATTTATTTTATTTTTATGGAAAACCCAAACACAAGGTGTGTTTTTCCCCCTTTCTTTTATTTTAGGAATAGACATTTTTGGTAAATTTGTGCAGTCTGCTAATATTTTTTTTCTAAAACTAGATTTGAATTGTTGATGCCAATGGGGTTACATCCACTCCATCATTTAACACCGATTATTGATCAACTGTGTGATGTCAAAGTTGTTCTGTAGGGCTTTCCACAGCAAGTGTTAGTTAGATTATTATATGCGTTGTTGACTAAATAACTGGACACCGCGGGAAGTCTCGTTGCAGTCACGCGTGATTTTGCTCGAGAGACGTCCGTTTAAATTCTGAAGGAAACCCCTGAGCCTGCACTTGAAATGACTGCGTTCAACCCGGATACACCAGTGTTTAATCGTCCTGTAGTGTGGCGATACATGTTAATTGTTTAGTGTATCAAGTGTTTACACTATGGATGATGCTTTCCAGTATCCCGTTTTCTTCGAGTGTCCTAATCTGGACGGAGAAAGTAAAAAGAGGGCAGAACTTTACTTTCGAAATCGTCGCAAATCAGGAGGTGGTGACTGCGGTTCAATAACAAACCAAGAAAATAAAGTGTACCGAATTGCGTTTAATGACAGAGCAGGTAAGCTTTTAAATTATGTCCGTTCACAGGGTAATTTTGATGGTTTTCTTTAAATACGTAGTGCTTTGGCTGGCGAAAGTGAAAGTATGGCTGCACTGTAAACATGTTGATCTCATTCCATACTTTCTGCTTTGTAATCAAACAGACAGATTTATGTTTCTGCTTACAGAGCCATATCTATACCTTTTCAGTGTCGATATTCCTCTCTTTCACACTGTGCTGTATATAAACGTTCTCAGTCTACATTTAGAAATCCTTTTAGTTTCACTTTCACAGGGAGTTCAGACTGCTCCTCAAAAAGTACAAAATGAACCTTGATACTCAGCATATTAAAAAAAAGTTTGTATTGTGTTCGTCAACTGTATAGTTATTTTGCATGGTATTGTGTTGTTTTGCTTTTCTCTTGGTCACTTTGCATGTCTTTGTAGTGGATTTCTATCGCGTCTGTTTTTGAATCTCTTTCTAGTTGGCTTGCCCCTCTTTCTGGTTCTATGTGTCTATGTAGTCATTTTGCATTCCTTGATGGTTGTTTTGTCTCTCTGCATAGTTCATATTGCATTCTTTTATGGGCGTTTGGTGTCTCTTTGTGAATGTTTGGCACGCCCGTGTGGTTGTTGTGTGTCTGTTTGCAGTCGTCTTATCTACTTTAGTTTTTAGTTTAGGTTTTGTCTCTGTAGTTTATATTGCATCTTTTTGTAGGTGTTTGGTGTCTCTTTGTAGTTGTTTTGCACCCCTTGTGGTTGATTTGTGTCTCTTTTCTTATTTTATTAGTAATTTGACATCCCTTAATGGTTGTTTTGTCTCTGTAGTTCATATTGCATCCTTGTTTGGGCGTTTAGTGTCTCTTTCTAGTCGTTTTGCACCCCCTTGTGGTTGTTGTGGATGCTGTGGATGCTTTAATATGTCTCGAGATGTTGTGTTTCTCTTTGTGGGTGCTTCCATCTCTTGGGGTCGTTTTAAGGCCGTGTTTAGTTGTTTTAAATCTAGTTTGGGTTATGTTGTCTCTGCATAGTTCATATTGCATTCTTTTATGGGCATTTGGTGTCTCTTTGTGAATGTTTGGCACGCCCTTGTGGTTGTTGTGTGTCTGTTTGCAGTCGTCTTATCTACTTTAGTTTTTAGTTTAGGTTTTGTCTCTGTAGTTTATATTGCATCCTTTTGTAGGTGTTTGGTGTCTCTTTGTAGTTGTTTTGCACCCCTTGTGGTTGATTTGTGTCTCTTTTCTTATTTTATTAGTCATTTGACATCCCTTAATGGTTGTTTTGTCTCTGTAGTTCATATTGCATCCTTGTTTGGGCGTTTAGTGTCTCTTTCTAGTCGTTTTGCACCCCCTTGTGGTTGTTGTGGGTCTGTAGATGCTATAATATGTCTCGAGATGTTGTGTTTCTCTTTGTGGGTGCTTCCATCTCTTGGGGTCGTTTTAAGGCCGTTTTTAGTTGTTTTAAATCTAGTTTGGGTTATGTTGTCTCTGCATAGTTCATATTGCATTCTTTAATGGGCATTTGGTGTCTCTTTGTGAATGTTTGGCACGCCCTTGTGGTTGTTGTGTGTCTGTTTGCAGTTGTCTTATCTACTTTAGTCTTTTAGTTTAGGTTTTGTCTCTCTAGTTTATATTGCATCCATTTGTAGGTGTTTGGTTTCTCTTTTAAGTTGTTTTGCACCCCTTGTGGTTGATTTGTGTCTCTTTTCTTATTTTATTGGTCATTTGACATCCCTTAATGGTTGTTCTGTCTCTGCATGGTTTATATTGCATTCTTTTATGGGCGTTTGGTGTCTCTTTGTGAATGTTTGGCACGCCCTTGTGGTTGTTGTGTGTCTGTTTTCAGTTGTCTTATCTACTTTAGTCTTTAGTTTAGGTTTTGTCTCTGTAGTTTATATTGCATCCTTTTGTAGGTGTTTGGTTTCTCTTTGTCGTTGTTTTGCACCCCTTGTGGTTGATTTGTGTCTCTTTTCTTATTTTATTAGTCATTTGACATCCCTTAATGGTTGTTCTGTCTCTCTGTAGTTCATATTGCATCCTTGTTTGGGTGTTTAGTGTCTCTTTGTAGTCGTTTTGCACCCCCTTGTGGTTGTTTTGGGTCTGTTGATGCTTTAATATGTCTCTAGATGTTGTGTTTCTCTTTGTGGGTGCTTCCATCTCTTGGGGTCGTTTTAAGGCCGTGTTTAGTTGTTTTAAATCTGGTTTGGGTTATTTCGTGTCTCTTTATGTTAGTTACATTTTACATCTCTTTGTTATTGTTGAGTCTCGCTGGGGATGCTTTCAAGACAAAAGGCCTACAATGTCTCCTTTTTCTGTCTCAGATCAGCAAAGAGTCCTGCAGAAATCTAAACATGAAGTAAAGTTTGCAGATGTTTGTCTGGTGCTGAATGTGAGAGAAAGACCCACCTGCTCACCCATCACTACCCCAACTACAAGCAAGTTAGTTAGCCTAAAACTGGACTCACCTTCATCACAGGTCAGTGTGGAAAGTCTTCCTAATTAGTGTCTCAGAGCAAAAAAAAACTATTCAGTTTGATACGAACAATTGAAAATGATTGTGTATAAAACTAGTTTTAGGGTATTTCCAATTCCTTGTTAAAGCATCCCAACACTTTAATTTAAAATGGCCTTGTTCATAGATGTCATATGTTGTGTGTCTTGTTGATTGAACTTCCATAACTCCTTAAAACGGTTCTGTATTAAAAATTAAACTTGATATTTTTCCATCAGGAGCCGCCCATTCTTACTTCAAGCCTGCTAACACTTGGTGAAGAATATGAACTACAACCTGACACTTACCTTTTACAATACCTGAAGGAATGCCCAAAGGCTTGGGAAGGACTGGAGATAGAACTAGTCTCTTTGGCCTGCTCTGCTCAGCTGTACCCAGAGGAAGGGAGGGTTTTAGTTAACTGTTTTACTCAACCTGGTGCTGCAGATTATGTTAGAAATTGGAAAGCAGAGGTTGACAAACTCTTTGATGGCTACCTGTGCCACTGTGAGGTGGACCCTCACAAAGTTGTAGCTTTGCTTGAGTCCAGGAACTCTCTTCAGACCACCAATGACGTTAAGGTCTACAGCGAGAATGGGGTGGCAATTGTTGTTGGGCAGCGTTCTCAGGTGAACGCCAAGTTGATGGATGTAGAAGCCTTGCTTGGTAAACAAAGGCCACGGGTACTTGAGAGGGAAACTTGCATTTGTCGACTGGGCGAGGCTAAGCTCCGCCTCCTCTGGAAAAAGATTGAGCACACTTTGCAAAAAGACTTTCCAGGAGTGAAGGTCACACAGGGAGCTCCAGGTCAGTTGCATTTGGAAGGTTCTGTCGAGGATATTCTTAAGGCTAAAGATTGGATCTCTGATCAGGAGAAGTTGGTGTTCGAAAGGACAGTTTCTGACATGAGCCCACATTTTCTTTCCTTCTTGAGAAATGTATACGGAGGTCCAGGGGTGCTTGGACAATTCTTAGGGTGTAGTGACAATGCCAAAGTAGAGTTACGGGAAACAGAGCTGCGTTTCTTCAGTCTCTCTGCTGATAAATTGAATGATATCCAACAAAAACTACAGGAAAAATTCAAGGAAGTCAAGATTGATGTTCCTAACTGCTCCGCTGTGCCACCTGAGCTTCAGGAAAAGCTGAAGTCCGAGACAAAGGAGATGAACCAAGGGCAATACAGGTCCAACGTTGTGTTTGGCCCAGACAGCAGTGTGTTCTTACTTGGCCACACCAAAGAGGTTGAAGAGCTAAATGAAGTTGTCATACAGTTTATTTTGGATCATGCTAGCATAGAGGGCAAAGTCAATCTCCCTTACCCAGAGTTAGCGCTTGAGTTACCAGAATTGTTGCAGCTGCATGGTTTTGATTATTCAGGGGTTACCTTC